CCCCAAAACCCCAAAACCCCAAAACCCCATTGATTAGGATTTATATAGATAGGGAAATAAAATTTGAATTTGAAATTTAAATCAAAACATAAAATGAAAGATAGCAGTATGAGTATTGGAGGTAAAGCCATCAAGATAAGTCCTGATGACATTACCTTTGATAGCGTTGTCTAGAATCAAATCCAAGTCTAGCAAGTGACCATGAAAAATAGTCTATCTGCACCTGTTGAATTGGTAATCCAATTTACTATAATATAAATTTAGACTCTCAAATCCTCTAATTCTGATAGAATTGATACAGAGCCAAAGTTTAAAAAATTGGCACCGTATGAGAGCATAACTGTAGATATCATATGCAAAATCTTAAAGTAATCTCCAAGACAAATAGTTTTATCTAATATTTAATTAATAGACCATTGGCCTAGAAAACAGGAAAGATTAAGGAGACCATTTTCATTAAGAGTGATTTCTTTGATTAAAAGATAAATGTAACAATCATTCCATCTCTATATCCAAACGCTACTGGCTCTACTACCCCAAGGGATACCTCTCTGACTAATTCTATAAGAACTAATCATCCATTCAAGTCAACTAAGAATAGAGATCAATCTAAAGAGTACAACTTTGGAGGTCAAATAGAGAGCAGTGATCAGAGTTCACCATAGTTTAAAATAAGGCGTGAAAATAACAACAACAGCAGTAGGTAAAACTTATCCTCAATAGATAGAGAGTTGAGTGAAAAAGAACAAACTATCTAAGAACTAGGCCACAAAGTGAGGAAGCTCGAAGTAGAAGCGTAGAATGCAGTAAGAATGTACAAGGAAGAAGTAGCAAAAAGAAAGGAAATTGAAGATAGATTTGAAAATGCTGGGTATTCAAAAGATAATGAATAGCTCCTATAGCAGTTTAAAGTGCTTTTAAGGGAAAGAGAGCCTAATTTAGAGTAGCTTATGGAATTGACTCTGAAAAAGGAAAGAGATTAGTAAGAGAGAAAAGATGCCAAGATTCTTGAGATTCTAAAAATCAAGGATAAGTAAATGGAGGAGATTCAAACTAAATTCTTGACTCAAGAATCAGAAAATTCTAAGTTGATATCAGCACTGCAAGATCATAAGAGATAGATTAAACAAATGGAGTAGCGAGAAAAGCAAATAACAAAGGAAGCAGAAGACTTAGAGCTCAAGCTTCAAAAGGCTTAGTCATAAATTTCTGAATTACATCATGGAGAATAATTTAAAAAGCTATAATACCTCGAAGATAAACTAAAGGAAGCCAATGATTACATTCAAAGTTGTCAAGATGAGCTCTTGAGAACCCAGACTGAGTTGCAAGAAAAGGCATAAATTGAGTAATTCTTTGAAGAAGCAATGTAGAGATTCAAAGATCAAGCGCAAATAAAAGATAGGTAGATAAGCTAACTCAGTCAAGAGTTGGAAGTAGAAAAAGAAATGAAGATCAGACAAGAAGAGCACTTGAAGGTTTTAATGGATTAGCTTAACCAAGTGAGCAATTCATCCCATTAGGAAAGAGATGTTCAGGCATAATTTATGAAGCAAGAAAGAGACTATATTGATAGGATCAACAAGCTCCAAGTGGATAAGTAGTCACTTTTTGAAGGCTTAGAGAGCTTTAAGTCTTAAAGTTAAGAAGATCAAGATAATATGAGGCAAATACTAGAAAAGCTTAATTAAATAACAGAGAGTTAGTCAAAGTCCAATAAATTCAAAAAGTAATAAAACTTACCTTACCTGATCGATGAAAAAGTAGAGGAGTTAGCGGGTATGCTTAAGAGTCTCCAGATCTAGAATTAAGAACTTGCATTGAAAAACACTAATCTAATTGATAAACTTAAGGATAGAGAGTCAGAGTTGTAAAAAACTATTGAGGAGAATGAGGATCTGTCAGATAAAGTTAATGTTAAAAAGAGATTAGGGGTGAAATCTGTTTAAACCTCAATTCAGATGGAGGATCTAGACAAACTAGAAAAGAAACAAGGAAAAAGTATGGACTTATTAAAGGAGAATAATAAGCTTAAAGAAACTCTTAATGAACTCGAGAGGAATAATTAGTACATGCAGAATGAATTAGACACTAAGAACTAGGAATTAATGATGCTCATAAGATCGAATAGAGATCAAACTTCTCAGCAGTTTGTGATGAATGGTGACCAGAACAACCTAGCAGGCAATTCCTATACTTCAGTTAGAGATATTCTTCATTAGAACCAAACTAATCCAAATGGGTATTCTCAATTTAATCAATCTAATATGGGAAACTAGAGCTAAGAAGAGTTAATCTCAAAGTTAAATGCCAAGATCTCTCAAATGAAGATGAATGAGACTAAGCTTTATGCTGAAATAGAAGAACTTACTTTAAAACTTGCAAGTCAGCCTTAAAAGAGTCACACATTCCAAAGTATGGATCAAAGCAAATTACAAAACTCCTCCTTGCTAGTGAACAGAGGCAGTGCTATGGCTACTGAAGAGAAGATTTCTGAGTATGAGACCATTATCCTAGAGTAACGCTAGCAGCTACTCGGACTATCAGAGGAAAACTTGAAACTTAAACACGAAATTGCTAGTGTGACTCATGTCAATCAAGTTCAGCAAGAAGAGATGAAAATTAGACTTAAGAATTTAAATGAGTTAAAGGAAAAGCATGAGAGCATTAACTATCTGCTCAGCTCCTAAGTTTCAGAGAGTGGCTACTTCGGAGGGATGAGTCAGAAATCTACAACTGTTGAGACTGAGAGAATGCGCCAGCATGTGCAGTAACTAGAACTTAATCAAATGACACTTAAACACCAAACTGATGAGATGAGGGCTACTCTTAATGCAACAACTAGAGAACTAGCAGAAACCAAAGGGGAATTACTTTAGTCTGAGCAAATAGCAGTTAAGCTCAAGAGTGAGTTGCAAATGATGAGAGTTGGACTTGCAAATAGCGATCAGGATAGCAAATTAGGCCAGAAAGTAGTAGAGCAAAGAAATAAAATCAAGTATCTCTAAGGGCTTTTAATCAGAGCTAAACAAGACTTTGACAAGCTTCAATCTTAGAAATCAAAAACAACCATTAAAGATAGATTAATCATTAATGCTTCTGAGTCTCAGAAGTCTATAGACAAACTGAGACGAGAGCACTAAGCAGCCCTGCTTATGGTGATTGACTTAAAAGAAGAGTACACCCATAAGTTGATGATCTTTGCTGATAAGCACGAGACTCAACGAGAGAAACTCAAAAATGAAAATTTGAACCTCACTAAAAAGTTAGACAACCTGCAAGTGCAGCTACAGTACATGGATAAAAAAGAGATAAGGCTGTTTGGATAGCTAGAGGAAGTCAAGTAGCTTCAGGAATTAGAATCGAACGAGAAGGACACCAGGACTAGGGAGTTGGAAGAACTGCTTTTTAAAAAGGAAGAAACCATTAATGAACTGGAAAGAGAGATCAAAAGCAAGGAGAAGACTATTTAGGACAGACAGGAGCAGATAGCTGTGCTGATTGGCACGCTTGAAAGTGAAAGGACTGTTGATGAATCAAGGTAGAAACTTCTAAATCTCACAGCTGAACTATGCTCAGTCAAAGCTATTTAGTCCCAAGCTGATAGAAAGATCAACGAAATGACCTAAATTCTCAAGAAGTCTCAGCTAAGCGAAGTTAAGCTGAATAAACAGATGGAAATTGAACGAATCAAGGTAAAAGAGATTCAATCCTAGGCATCTAAGCAGGAAAAGCAAATAGATGAGCAGCAGAAATAGATATAGGAAGCGAGATTGTGCATCGATGAGAGGGACAGAGAACTAAATGAGATGAAGTTCAGGAATGAGAGATTTGAGTTCCAACTCTAAATGAAAGACTAAACACTGTAACAAATGAGAGACAGTTAAAGAAGAACAGAGAGCGAGTTCAAAGAAGAGATTGATAGAATTAGGAAGGAATTCAATGAAAGGTTCAGTACTCAAGCTGCCAAGAAGAAGCAACTTGATAATATGCAATCGAAAGACACACTGAATGCTGGCAATCAGTTAAAAACAGCCATTTAATAATTGCATCTTTGCATTTCAGACTATATGAGCTATTCTCAATCAACTGATGAGTAAAGAGTGATCTAGGAATTTGAAAAAGCTCTGAACATTGCTGCCTCAAACATTGAGAAGCTTTAAGAAGAGATTGATAAATTAGAAAAGCGTGAAACCATCTATCAATAAGATCTAAAGGCTACAGCTCTGAATAAGATCTTAATCTAAAACAATGAGAATCTGCTAATAAAGATTCAGAAGTTACAGACGGTTTATCAACAGAGAGAAGACTAGAGAGAATCCTATATGAAGCATTAAGAACTTCAATGGGCAAAGATTATTAAGGAGCAAGATTCTTAAATTGAGATTCTGAAGCAATAATACACTGATGTGGAAGTAGAACAAACAGAGATGAGGGATAAATTTAACAAATTAAAAGATTAAAAGGAAGATCTTGAGTAAGGTATCGTGATGTTTGAATAGGAACAGCAAAACAAGCAATCACAATTTGAAAGAAAAGCAGAGTTGACAGTGGACGAGAGATTCAAGAGCAAGCACGAAATCATCAAAGCATACTTTGATTCCAATATCACTAGAATACTTTTGAACACTCAGAACACCACTAATGATAGGATACTTGATCTTGGTCGTGAGCTAGTTGCCTAGAAGATACTTATTTAAAAGTTGCAATCATAGTTGGAACTGGGAGATAATGAGAACTAGGGTCTTCAGCTTAACCTCTAGCATTATAAAGAACAGAACTAAGTGTAAGAGTAGAGAGTAAGAGACCTCTAGGTCAAGATTAATTAGCTTAGCAATAAACTTCATCATCAGGATCTTTAAGGAAGAATAGAAATTGAAAGAAAACGCAGGGAAATCATCCAAATCGAAAAGGATTTGCTTAAAACTAGAGAGCAAGTTGAAACCAAGACTAGAGAAGTTATAATACTTTAGGATTAATTGGAAAAAGATAACTTAAACCCTAGATTAGCCAAGCAAAACAATAATCACTCCAGCAATTTGCAAGATCATAGCAATGAGATCATAGCAGTAAAAGACTAAGAAATCAAGAATCTTAATTAATAATTAGATGATCTCTAGGAAAGACTGGTCAACAGCAGAGCATAGCAGATCTAAGAAATAGAAGATCTCAAAGTCTAATATGACTTGGAACTCTCAGAACAAAGAAGAAATATCAGTAAAGAGAGGGAATAGTTGGAGAAGAGGTTTATGCCTGGTTATGCTCCTGGTGACCTTATGGAGAATAACCAAGATCTGCAAAACAGAATAGTTGACTTAAAAAATGCCCTGGATAGAATAATGCAGGAGAATGCAATCTTAAGAAAGAAGATTGAAAACGAGAAACAGAATAACGACAGCCATAGAAGTGAGATTAATAGCTATAAGCAGGCGTTATAAGATCTCGAAAGTACTATGGCTGAGATGTCCTCAGGATTTAACTAATAATCCTCCTAGATGAGAGATCAAAGAAGCAAAATGAGCATATAATAGGAAGAAAAGAAAGCACCAACTTCTAAAGCAGGAGCTAAGAAGAAGTAGAATTCCTTACATTTCAACAAGGATGCTTATTAATCAGAGAGTGACCAATACTCACATTCAAAGATAAATCATAATGACTAGTCTTCGCTAAATGTCTCAGCTTTAACTTCTGTTAATATGATTTAGAATGCTAGCAATAGTCTTAGCAATAATGGCAGAAACCAGAGACAGTTTGTAATCAACCCACCTCCACTTATCAAAGCATTAATCTAATCTAAAGTAAGTGAGATGCTGTATAAGAAGAAGTGTGAGGATCTTATCTAAATTGAGGTAGACCTAAGATTACAGATTAAAGAACTTAGTACAAAGCATAGAGAGCAGCTAATGCAATAGAGATAAGAACAAACTATGAATAAATAGAGGCAGGGCGAGCAACTTGACTATGAATTAGATGAGCTAAGGCGAAGATTAATTGAATTAGAGATTGAAAATGAGGACTTGAAGTTGAACAGAGCTTAAGATCAAATCAATACACTATAGCTATAGCAACAGTATACACTTAGCATGATAAAGCCTTTACAGTCCTAATAGAATTACGAGCATCAAGGCTAATATGTGCAGTAGGATTTTAATACATTGATTGAGGCGATTATCTACCTTGTTAATAGAATTAGCAATGACTTGAAGGACTAGGAAAACTAGGCTAATGGGCAATAAGCTATAGAAGAGGGTTAGAGACTGGTTATAAGATCACTCCTTAACAAGATAAATTTTGAGTAAGGCATTTCTGGATCAGAAACTATCCAATATGCACCTAGTGAAGAGAAAGATAGGAAGTTGTGGTATTTGGAGTTGCTTGAATAGCAAGTGAACAGCTCTGAGTCTGTAGTCAATCAATTACAGTCTTTCATTAAGAAACTATCAATAGACATTTCAGGCAATCTTCAATCAGCAGCCCAAATCAAAGCAGCATCTATGGACCTTGCCTAGAATACAATGAAGACCTCTGATGAAATCAAAACTCTAAAGCACATAGTTGGTCTTATCAAACATGATCTAAATAGAAACTTCTAACTGCAAAGACAAATGGAATAAACTTAGGCCCACCAGAATAGTAACTCCAACAACTAAGTTACACAGCAGAATATGAGAACCATCAATCCATTTGAAAAGCAGAGTATGTTTAACTAAGCTTAGATCGATTAATTGATCAATAACAGTGATCAGCTCTAGAACTAACTTACTATTACTGAAAAAGTTAAAAAGACTTTGGAACAAGAAATTGTTCAGCTCAAAATAAATCATTCTTAAGAGCAATAAAGCATCTCTCAGAAACTAAATCAAGCCCTAGACCAAAAAAATTCTCTCCTGCAGACTAATGAGGAACTACATAGCAAAGTAACCCAGCTTTAGACGTCACTAGAAAAATTGAGGGGTGAAATAAACAATGTTCAGGAGTAGAATAATCATCATTAAAGTCTTATAATGGAGAAAGAAAGAGAGAAGCAGTTAATTGCTCAGAATAAGACAGCAACTTAAAAGCACTTGTAAAAGTTGCAGCAGGATATGAATGATTGGCGCCATCAGACTGATGAAAACATTAAGATAAAGGAGAGATAAATTGCTGACTTAAATGGATAGGTTTAATCTCTAACTAAGGATAGGGAAAGACTGAAGTCAGAGAATCAAATGCTGAGAAGGTGTGAAAAGGATAGGAAAAGCATTTCAAATGAGGATCTGAAGAAACTTGAGCACGAAAACAAGAATCTAATGGAAAAACTGAATCAATAGATGAATGAAAGAAAGAAGGAGATCGAATTCTGGGTGACTGAAAGAGCAACAATGAGGGAGATGATTAATTAACTAGAATGCGAGAAGGTCGAAAATGATATTGAGAAAGACAACAACTCTAAATCGAAATATGCAAGGGATGACCCTGAAGCTAAGGTAAAGAATCTTAAAAAGAAGTTAAGTTCTAAGATCAAACAAAAGGATGTCGATCTCAGATTGAAAGATAAGTAGCTATAAGACCTTAGTGATGAGCTAAACAAGGTTAAGTACTCAGCCACTCTGTTGGAATAAAGAATGAGAGAAAGCAGTTCTAGACAGGCAGAGGCTGAAGAGAGATTGAAGTACATGAACTAAAAACTGAAGGAGGTTGAGCTTGAAAGAGATTTAGTCATGGCTGAAAAGAATAATGCTCTATAGACCAATGATGTGTCAGCCGCTCAAATCTAGGTTGAACTCAACTCGCTCAGAGAGTGCTTTGCAAAACTAAAGGTAGAAAGAGACAATCTGCTATATGAGATTTAGGAGACCAATAACAGAGAATAGGATTGGAGGCAGACAGTTGAGAAGCTATCAGATGAGATTCAAAATATGGAAAGGAATATCCTATCTAAGGAGAGAGAGCAGAATGAGACTATAAAGGTCTTGGAGACTAAATGCAATACTTTCATGTCTGATTTGAAGTACCTTAAATAAGATAATGATAAACTAAGAGAGAGATCCAGAGACATGGACTCTAGCCAGATCAAGTATGAGTAATAAGTTCACTAAGAATAAATGAAACAGCAGGAGTTAATTATGTAGATAGAAAACGGAAAGAGACACTAGAATGATCTGGGACTGTAACTTAAGGGCAAGGAGAACTAGATGAACGAGCTTTAACAATAATTCTTACTTTTAGAAGCCAATAAGATGCGCGACATATAGGATCTTAAGACTAAGATTGAGGAGATTAAAGAAGCAAATGCCCAGATCATTGCTCTGTATGAGAACTAGCTAAATGACCTGAAACTAAGATTCATCAATGATAAATAAAAGACTGAGCAATAGGTTGATAACATGTTCTCCATCGCATAAAGAGAATCTGTTGTTAAGAACCTCAAGAAGGAACTTACATAAGCCAAGGCACTGCTTAATAAATCAAAAACAAAGAACAAGAGTCTTAAAGCTTAGATTTAAAACCAAGAAAATATCTCAAATAATCAGAGACCTAGGAGTAGACTCACTTCATAGAAACACAGTTTCAAGGAGTCTACAATTTAATATGATGAATTCTAATGTGATAAAGATGTGTATAGACTGTCAACACTGCTTATGGGAGATGATTCTGGATATAAAGGGATGCTAGAATAGCTACAAAAAGTTAATCACGTTAACTAGTAGTTCGTTGAGGTCAAGGCAGATTTAGAGAAAGCTAACAATTGGAATATGGTTATTAGTCAGTAACTTCAAGAGTACTAGGAGAGAAACTAGGAACTGCTAATCTAGATAGATAATCTGTCTAAAGTAAGTCTCAAGGAAAACAGTAGAATCAACAAGTCTCAAATAGCAGGCAGTGAAACTATATCTAAGTACAAAGTTGAGATAAAGAACTTATCAAGTGAATTAGAATCTATGAAATAAGAATGGCTTCCACCTAGAGAAGTCTAAAATATCAATGAGAGACTAAAGGATGCTAACAATACTATTAAAACCTTGAAGGATGAGGTATAACGTAAAAGAGAAGTTATCACTCAGCTTAAGCAGCAGCGTGGTCAGACAGAAGTTGAAGCAACTTAGATCCTTAATGAAATGGAGGGCTTGAAAGATGATAATATAAAATTACAGAAATTGATCAAAGAGAATAACAAGAATATGAAGCTAGCTTAGGAACTGAAGAGTGCCAATGACTATATGAAAGTAGGTGAAAAGCGAATGAAGGAAGAGATCAGCCAGCTTAATGAAAAACTAAAGCAAGCAAGAGTCGATATCACTAGGAAAGAGCAGCTGATTAAGGAGTATAAAGATAAACTTGACCTCATTCAGGACGAGATTAACTAAAGCAATCAAAGAGTGAATGAGATTGAAAAACTCAAGGAATTAAACAAGAAACTTAAGCTTGAAAGCGAGATCAAGGAGAATCAAGTTAAGACTCTGAAGCAGAGACTAGAACACAATGATGAGGAAATTGAAAACTTGAAAACAGTTAGCCAATCTCAGATAAACTCGAGCCAGTCTAATCAGCTGGAAAATCAAGTGCGCATAACAAAGAATAAAATCAAGAAATATGAGGTATATCTTAAGAAATCTCTTGAGACTTTGAGAAAGATTGGCAAGGAACTCTCACACACCAGCTCAAAGATGAGTATGAGATAAAGAAGTAACCTTAAAGCTAGCAAAAAGACCAATGATAATCCTATGCAAATCAATGAGTTTGAGAGAGATTTCTACAAGGATTCAGTGAATATACTTGGAGTATCTATGGATGAACTGGAGGAATTTATGAATCCTTCTCTTAACCACAGTTCATCCGAGAAGAACATTGAAAATCAGAACTTCATGGCCAAACTTGAAAGAGTTTCCGAGATACCTGAGACTTTGAACCAAGATTTAGAGCAGATTTGCAACTATTGCGTCAAACTTATTAGTGAGATTAATCCAGATGTTTCTTTTAAATGAGAAAGATATCAGGAACAGTGTTAAAATTGAAATATCAGAATGACTTTTAAGTTAGTATTAATTTTGAATTAATTTCATAATCAATGTAAACTAATCTCATGGGGTTTTGGGGTTTTGGGGTTTTGGGG